TCACAACGTATCCCCATACGTTTCTGAATTCAATAAGTAACTTCAATGGTAGATTTACAAACCGATTTGTTAAGTAAAACTGATTTCTATAAATCACCATTAACCCGAAGCTTCAAATATATAACAGGATGAGGGTCACGTGTAACAATCAAAGAGTCTCAAAGTAGGTTTTTACTGAATATATAACTCTGCGGTTAAACTGCAACACGTTTAGGACAACAGATGTACAATCAACACATTGAGGAACTTATGAGCAACCATAGGATAATTAAGAAGCGAGTATAAAAAACTTAGTGACCTGGTGTAAAACTCGAGCAGATTAAGAACGGTTCAATGACTCATGGTGCGCGAGTAGTCTGAACTAAAATGACCATCAAAACAAACTAGTTCAATCCATTCCGTGTACGAATAATCTAAAAAAGGATAAACGAAGGTAGTATTCAGACCCCTGAAATGGATGAGAAATACTACAAAAAATTTCAAAAGTTCGGCTACACTAAATGAACCTAAGCCCTTGAAGATGCAAATAATAGTTTTGAGAAATCGCTTTCAAAGCCAAGATAACAAAAATAAGACAGCCTACATTAATGCAATACGCAGAATGGAACTAATTTCTCGACGTCATACAATTTTATAAAACATCACTTACAAAAACGAATATCAACAAATCCGTAGAAAGATATAAATGAATAGTACACTGTTCACGAACAATAGGACTTCTTATAACAAAACCACCAATTAAATACAACAAAGATTCATAGAATCCGAAACAAAATCAATTACAGTAAACCTGAACTCAAGAAAAAATCCAAAATAATTTAGAAGCTTCCAAGAAATATTTTAATTTATATCAAGACGTTTCCGAAAAAAAAGTTACGGTGGCATACAACATTATTACTACAGAACTACTCAAAAACATAACTAACCTACTCACGCCTCTTACCTCGAATAATAGAAGGATTAAAAAGATGAAGACTCTTCAAAGTAACAAATTTTGAAAATATAAACCTCTAGTTAAAAATGATTTCAAACAAATCACTCGAGTCTATTTTTCACTAAAGACAACAATAAAAGTACAAAAACTAACATGGAAATGATTACCTAAGGGTGGTACATTATATACAAACAATGTTTCATACAGCAGATGAGAGGAAATATGAGAATCATCAAGAATTCTTGCCAGGCACTTGGAGTACTGCTGCAGTTCTATCTTCCACCTAATTGCAGCGCTATATGTATAAAGCCATGACAAACCGAACATTTCATCAAGTCTGATGTGTTGGTATCTTACCTTTAAAAATTGTGGTACAGGGTCAAATAGATTAGGATGAAAAAAAGATATGATATACCTCATCAACCATCATAGGATGACTTAGGTCTCGGGTCACGCAACTTCGCACTCGTACCATTCGTAAATAAGGGCTTTAAATCTCTTTTAGTGTAAACCATCAGGTAAGCCTGACGTTGATGTAATGTTGGGAGAGAAATTGGACGGCTCTAAAAGCGTCTTCAAAACAGTGAAGAAATTTAGCTCTGACCTTCCCTTTCGCAAACAAGAATCACAAAAATTACCTCTCAGATATAATTCTGGATAAAGAACAAAGTTGGAAGTAAAATAGGCTTATTAAAAGAAAAATAAAACACTAATATAAACCACCTCTTCGTCGTCAAACAAATGCCACGTTTTACCATCAAATCCTCGCACCATGGCAATATAATGACCATGATCAATCCCGCCTCCCATGTGCTCAATAACTGCATTCAATTGGTAAAGGCAACAGTCTCCTGACTGGTACATAAATCGGTCCAAGCGCAAATTCAACTACAGCAATTGCGTTTTTAACACTGATAAACGAAATGACATTTCAATAAAATTGTACCAATTACCTCCAAATTAACAGGAGTTCTAATTTTAGACCCAAATGATGTAAATCTTTTCAGCTGCACCAATAAAACATTAGGAGCCCTTAAAACACGAGTACTTCGTTGCGCTTGTGTTTTCCGCCTACATCTGAAATAGGCCTCTGTAACCACTAAAACTTCTATTTCTAATAACTATTAAAAACTAGAACTGAATAAAAATGTCCAACTTTTTGCACTCATATTGTCCAAATGTTTCTGTAGCGAAATAATCACTCAATAAATCATCCATTGCAAGCGTCGACACCTCACGTTTCCTCATGCGTAAGCCCAAATTTAATTCACGAATTCGCTCGTAATTTATAAAAATCTCCATACATTCAGTGCAGCGAATCTGATTCCGCAGCGTCCCACCAAAAATCTGTTCAATGGGAGTTGACGGCCTCGTGTCACTAAATGTACATGTTCACGCTAGCACAAACGTTGGAAAGGATATCAGAACCGATAATATTGTACAATAACATTTAAAGCGCTGAAGAAACAAAGCCAAGGCAACTCTAAAATGTACATGACATGACTAGAGGAATGAGATGATCCGTTTTGTTTTGTTGAAGTGGGGAGATCAAGTGCGTCCAGCAGCAAATTGAAAAATTCATGAGCGTCCTCCTGATAGCCAGGTATATGAGCTGGGAAAATTTCTAAAAAAAAATATAATTAAAGATAATGACAACACAAGTTTCTCTAATATCCTAAAGTCTGCCAGAAAAGTAACAAAAGTAGAAAACAAAAAAAGAATGGTGCAGTAACAAACTTTTCAGAAATGGTTGTATCCAGTTTGGTTTAAAAGGATTACTACTACTAATTGCATGCCTCATATGATTTCCGAGTGCACAAACGAAACAACTGTTAACACCTAAAACAAAATGACTAGTATGACGGACTAAGAGAAGGAAAGTTGAAAAGTAAATGTAGTTACCGACGGAATGAATAAAGGATACAATACATAAAGTTAACAGGCGAAAAACTCACTACAAACAGTAGAGTCGTGTTGCTCAGCAACGTAACGCGCTAACGGAGCAGTGTGAAGCATTGCTTGCAAAACGGCATTTAAGAAGCAATCATTCGAATAATTATGCAGTCCGACGCCGCAGTTCCTACCGCAAAACTTCTGTAAAGCAAAGCTGTCAGGACAAGGAATTAAAAAATTCTTCTTGTCCTGAAAAGTGTAAATGCATACAATGAGTCTTGAATCTCGCCACGTCATCATAAGGTTCTGGCGGTCAATAACTGGAAACTTAGCAGCTGCCTCACCCCGCTCAGATAAAACACGCTTCCTTTCAATTTTTATTGCACCGTTCAAATACTTACTCTAAATAGAAATAGTCTCATATCGGAACGGCAAGGAACATCAAAGAGTAGGTTACTCGTGAACACAGTAAAGGGAAAAAGCAAAATAATGAAGACAAAGAGCATTCCGTTTCAGCAATGTACCTGTAAAGAAACACCGTTTTGCCTCGAATAACCGCTGAAACCATTTACCACTATTTCCCTCCTCGAAACCAACCCATTTGATAATTCTAGATCACTAATTTGCAATCCAGATGTTGAGGGTTGCACATTTCCTCTATCAACTATTATCCTGCTCGTCTGCGGAGTTCCGCTGCTCCTTCGATCAAAAATTTTTGGAGAAAAAAGTTCTGGAGAGCTATAAAATAGAAAATTTTCACAAAAAAAAAAAAAAACAAATTTAAGAAACTTTACTAAAAACAAGTTCACACCTACCCACATGGCGCCCTCGGTACTCTCGTGCCATTATCAATAAAAGGTCCTTTTTTGCCATTCAATTCTAGCGATCTAGGTAAAAATGCTGGCCCATTCTGCTTTGACACAAATGTTAGCTTAATTTTTTCACCAGTCTCCAAAGCCAATTTTGTAGGAGTAGGAGATTTCGTAGAAGTGCAAGTGTAGGGAGAATTCCCAAACAGTTTTCCATTTGTCACATTTTTTGGGACGGCTGGTGACGAATTTGCTTCATTCCCACCGCTTAACTTCCTTCTCTTAACAGGACTAAAAATCCCCCATGTAAAAATGACCCAGTTTCAAGACAAACAATAATTAGTCACCTTGGTGATGGCGAAGATGAAGCACTTCCTGAATCAGAGTATGCAGTCTGAATTAATTGTAGTCCGGAGCATGCAAGCGAGTGCACTCCTGAATCCCAACTAATTTCTAAAAAAACCGACACCTACCGTTGCCTTCAAAGTTATAGCTACGCTACCAAAAACTAGTGTAACAAGTTTCATATAAATACCACAAAATCCTTAATTCATAAAGAAACTTACTTGTCAGAGACTTTGACGTAGAAGGGATTTCACAAGTTCCACTATCTTTCTTTGAAGGTGTCAAAGAAATAAAAATTTTGGGGAATGAGGATATGGATTCATCCACATCTTCAGTTAAACTAAAATACTTGCATGAACAAAAATAAAAATTAAAGGTTTAATAGTTGTACCACTTCAAGATTCCCATTAAAACCATCTTAGATTACAAAAGAACAATTCAAACATATTCATAGAAAAAATTTGTTAAAATCACTTTGATTTATCAAACGGCCAACTACGTTTAATACAATCAACTGCACTGAACCGCAATACGTGGAAAGTTGTAACATGTCCCTCAAGCTTATGTGAAGTAATAAAAGTTGATTCCATGAACAAGGTTCAAGGATTCTTCGCAAGGTCTGAGTAAGCACCACGAAGTGCCAAAATAAAGAAAATAACCATTCAAGCAATTATAACGATCTATCTTCCAATACTGTGCCTGAAACTAAAATTTCCCTTCGGGTCAATACAAATTTATTCAAATTATTGAAAGAAAAAAAAAAAAACAAAAAAACAAGGTAAAAGATGTTAACCATAAAATAAATGATTCGTTAGCGTGAATCTAGTCATAGTGCACTCACTGTAATGAAAGATGTTCAAAAATAAAAGTTTCAAAAATAATCCAGCTTTTAGCACCTAAAAGCTAAAAAAGGTACCCACAAACAAATAAGAGTGAAGTAAGACAATGCGAACACACAAGAAACAGTGAAATACATTAATACGTAACTCCAGCAGCACTTCCATTTAATTAAATTAGATGATCACTGCTCGTATTGTGAGCGTTGGATATTACTACTTATATGAGGATTAAACATCAATAAACTGTAACAAAAACGATTAAAAAAGATAGAACCTTGCAACGGACCTCATCTTTAAACAAATGCTTCCCACAGACAACATTTAAAAACTTAACACTTCCATTTCCATCTTATGCATTTTGATTAGAAAAGAAAAAATTTTAGATTATAAATCAAACAAAAATTTTAGCAATTTAGAAATAAAAACCACTAACCTTTGATAAATAAAAAAGCTATTTGATCAATAAACATAACAATAACTAACCGAAAGAATGGCGTCCGAACCACTAGTGGTTGGTAGAGTAAAGAATTCTAACACTAAAAACCGATGTAACAGTGCATTCAGATCCGAGTGTTATTTGAGTTACCCCATTTGCTGAGACTGCACCTTCTGCTGCCACCACACGAATAAATTTTTTACTGACTACTTAAAACTGTTACCTTGTTACAAGGAACAAAAAATGGATAAAAGCATATGCAGATGACGAGTTTTCAGAAAAGTTGACGGAAAAATCATATTTATTTCTATGCAACTCATGATAAATAGCAAATTTTGAAACAAGAAACAAAAGAAACACCAAGAAACTGTATGTTACAGAAAACTGAACAAAAACAAAATAGAAAAAAATCTGCAAAGCACACAGCGGCCTTTTTGATGAAAATCACCGTTCACATGACACACGTTAATCTCCTGAAAACAGTTCAAATACTGCTGTTTCAATGAACACTTGAAGCCGCTTTAACAAATACTATTAATTCCCACACTCCCAACTTTATCCATTTGAAAAAACGCAAGGCTTGGAAGAACTTTTACCAAAACAACCTCTAAGTTGCATAAAATTTACATTATAGGCATAAAAAGGGGAAGATTGTATAAGGAAAGTTGCCGCTTTATTGTTATTCTTTGATGCAACAGGCAATTCCGTCTAAGTCATCAATTTATCTGTTGCAGCTTAATACCGCTATCTACTCTGACGATAGTTGGACATGCCGAGAATGGTGCGGTAATCAGTTGGTTGCGATTTCACGGTCGCTGGCTTTAGGAGAGGCAGCTGATGGCTGACGTCAAGCCACTGTTAAGGCTGCTGGTGCTCCTTCGGCAGTCCAGCAGGTTGGAACGGTTTCTACTACTAGGTATTGCCTAATGAGTAACTTTGTGATCTACAAATCCTGTGATGAATACATAAATTAAACATGTGTTGGTTTGCCAGTGCTGTACCCTTTTCTCAAAAGTGTTTTGTGCGATGGACGTTCCATCGTTAATATTATATGTTTGTTAACTTAATGTAATTGCTTTGTTGATTTAATAAGTTTATTGTGCCCTACTCTTTGAGTAATGAGGCATTCATTGTTTCACTTCGGATCGGTAAATAACACTTGTTGCTGGAGTTTAGCTGCACTTATCACGGCCTGCTGAAATTTTAAACTTTTATTTTCAAAGTGCCCTCAAGATTACTGTTAGATTCTCAAAATCATTGATCCTTTTTGCCTGTTTTTGAGCGGTGGTCATTCCTGGTCTGTATTGGTATTGACAATTTGTGTGAAGAAAGAAGAGGGGCTGGAAAGAGAATTTCCAGCACCGAAAAACACTTCTGCTACAGAATATGTCTAAGAGTTGCAAATGTGACCGACAAAATATTATATGCTGGGAGTGATACGGATTAAACTAATTTGCTTTGATGGCCATTTTAATTCAGACTACTCGCGCGCCATGAGTCATTGAACCGTTTTTGATCTTCTCGAGTTTTACATCAGGTCGCTAAGTTTTCTTATACTCGCTTCTTATTATCCTGTGATTGTTCATAAGTTCCTCGATGTTTTTTTAATTGTACATTTTTTGCTCTAAGCCTGTTGCAGTTTAACCGCAGAGTTATATATTTAGTAAAAACCTCGCTTAGAGTCGAAGTAGGCTAAGGTAGGGTTGTGGCTTAACGGACAAGGTCAGCATGTAACGTTTGAGGTGGCTAGATGATTTTGGTAGCTTCTTGGGAACTATGACAGCTTTAAGGGAAAGTTGCGGATATAAAAACCAAATGTTATTTTAATGAAGCCGTTTGAAAGCTATATAGGCTTTCCCGCTTTGGTGGCAGAAGCAGTTGACTGCAAAAGTATAGTACTTAATTACGCCAGTTACACTTCTGGACAGTATCCTCACATATTTTTTTGCTTGCCTGGGAAGTTTCTGATTAATATCAAAA